TTCTTAGCATTATCAAAAGCATGCTAAACACAACAGGTTAAAACAAGAAATGAAGACTACAACTAATACTGCAGAAAAAAAAAAAAATCTGTGTAGGCAGCAGTCACCACAGATGGGATTCATTCAGTACACAGCTCTTACTTCTACCACCCACATAATCCCCATTATCATTTCCTACCAAACACACTTCATTAGCTCTGAAGAAATCTCTATTGTCTCTCCCAGCAGATCACTGAAGGTACTGTCATGATATGGATATAAAAGTTAAAAGGTCATATCAATTAAAAACCATTCCTTTACAATCCTTTAGAAGGTCATAATAATTAAGCATATTTTCATTTGATGACAACCAATAATATAACTTGATGAACCACTACCAATTTTATCCTTTATAAGTAAAAGTATTCTTCCTGGTAGTACTGAGCATTAGGATATAATCATCCAGTGATTCTCCCTGTTCCTCATTTTTTTGTTCATTTGTCCCAATTAATTAAGTGATAGTATAAACTCCAGAAAGTGATGTACTGTCCCAGAGGAAGGAAGCAAGGCTCTGCCTTTGCTAGAGCACAAGCTGTCATTCCTGATTTCTATACAGGGTGGAGTTCTGCATTCATTTTATTGCTCCCACTGTTGACGCTGATGACAGTTCTTCCAGGAGAGACATCCTTTGATGTGTGCTGTGTAGCTGTGGCTGAGGAGGAAACTTGCATTGCCCTGTTATGAGGGACACCATGACGTAGGGAACTTGGCTGAGGAAATGGCAGAATAGAAAATCTGATTCTTCTGCCCTTTTTCTGCTAAACCAACCCTCCAATCGTTGTGCTATAATCTAGTTATAAAGCAGCGTTGCTGTAAATCAAAGGGTCTAAATTAAAATGGAAAAAAAACCCCAACAAGTGCTTGTTTTGTTATTTTAGAGGGGGAAAACCCCATAAAATTATGCAAAATCACCCAATCTGATTCATAAATAGCTGTATCAGCAGAACTATGAAGAGCAAGGCACTGTGGTGTAAGGGTGCAAACTCCACAGGCTGGTGTAGCTGCTAAAGTGCTCATACTGTTAAACCACAACCAAAGACAGAATTTAATTAAAACGTCTAAATCATCCATTCTTGTGGTGGTCAGTTCATTTGGAGTTAGGAGAGAGTAATTGTTTCCAAGTACTTTGCCTGCAGCAGTGGAGTAGACTACACAAGACTGTCTTATTTATGAGTTTTTAATAAATTACCTAATCAGCCATGTGGCTTTATGTTCTTAAAAATATTAGCTGCTAAATGTTAGTTGCTAAAGGTCATGGAATTATAGTTTGAAGAGTTTGCTGTTCAAGCACTATCTTGTCACTTCTTGTTCCTCCATTTAATGAATTGTTAACTAACATATTGAATGCCTCAGGAAATCTTCATCTTCCTATTCTTTCCTTCCCAGTAACTTCACAGATAATCTGTGAATGAAACAATAGAGGTTTCACACATTGATTTCCTCAGTTTCAGTTCAGCCAGCTGGTGGTGATGTCACACACAGCCACCTGTGTCTAACAAGCACCTGATACTGTTCCTTCCTTAAGAACTGAAAGTTCAAGACACATGTACATACCAGCTCTGTTTTGGTATTTGTACTATAAACACTGGATTGCTATCATGATTCAGATAAACAGGAGACTGGTTCAGCTGTTTTAGTTACTTTGGATCATTTCCTGCAGCTTTACTCATCCTCCCAATTAACATGAATACACATTTGGGCTTTTTCCAAGTTAGCCATTAAGGAGGTTAAGTAGGTTGGGCCTTATGACTAATGTTTCCTTGGCTCTTACTGTATTTTGCTACTCCCCTAGAGTATTCTATCATACTTTATTAGCATGCAGGAGAAACTCTGAGATGCCGGATTGTAGGACAGCACTTAAAATGTTCTAGAAATCCCCAAGCTTCAAAATGAGAAATCCCAGTCATAAGTAAGACCCAGTATGAAAGGGCAAATACAGAAGTACTTGTACTGTAAAAAGACATCTTGCATTAGCATTGTCATTATTAATACAGTTTCCTACTGCTGAGCTTTCATGTTCTGTATTGATTAAAAAAAAAAAGTTACCAGTGCCACAACAAAACTTAGTCAAGAGCAAGAGGATGCTGCAGTAATTGGATGAGGTTCTTCAACCCCTATACATATTTGCTGCTCCACTAACATGGTAAACGTAGTAAACAGGTTTTGTCACTGATGATGCCTCATGACAGACAACAAATCAAGAATGCAGTTGCTTAACTATTTTACTACATAAAGTTTAAATGTAATCCTGCTTTAGAAATGTCAGCAATATAAAGAGGCAGCAGCTAAAGGAAAGGAACGTAACCCATCAATGTGCAGTAAGCATATCCCTCACCAGTGTTGTGAATCATGATGAATATTACATCCATGGATTAAAGTCTTGATCTTACATAGTCATTTGCATAGCAAATGGGTTTCTTCAGGAGCTGAGTATTGTCTGTTTAGACACTTACCTGGAACAGGAAAATATTTTTGTTTTAAGTTAGCTTTAGAAATCACCTTATCTAAATTACTAAAAAAGAAAGGCACATATCCTAAAATAAGAGTATTCACTTCAAGGGTGGGTACTCCTTGAAATATTTGTCTACTGAGGGCTACGCTCCAGGTGCTGGTGCTGCAATGAAAATTGATTCCTCTTTCCACACTTTACTGTAAATATGAAATGCTTCTTAAAATGCCTTAGTTTGCTTTCGTCTATAGTGTTTTACATTACTTCAGCATAGAGAAGCAGGAAGTATAGATAGTACTACAGGTATTACATGCTATGGGTGTGTTCATTTCTGCTTTCGAGTGAAGCCGTGACTGAATTTCCTCCTTCTGTATGCTACTCAAGTAAAAAATCAAACCAAAACATCTATTTAAACATGAACACCAGTCTTACTTCCCCTATCTTTTGCAGGTACTTGTGTTAAGGATCACAAAGGAGGGAATATTCATAGCCTTCACAGAAATACCTGACAGAGAAGCAACAATGGAAGAACCAGCTGCATGTAGCATTGTTTCAGTCTAAATTATAATTTTTATAACCCAGGCACTGCTGCCCATATGTACATTTTTTCCCTACTAGAAAATCAAGCAAGTCAGATAAAAAGAAGTGTTAAGACTTGAAGCAGGTTAAGTTTACCTAGAAGTGCAGTTAAATGTGCTCCAAGGGCAGGTCAGCAGAAGCTCTTCTTGCCTTCCAGCCCAGGAGATCAGAAGAACCTGTTGATGCACCTCAGTGCCAATGGTCTGGCTATGGTGAAGCAAATATTGCAGTGATTAATGTTTTTTTCCTGGTCTGTTTGCCTGAACTCTGTAATTGAAAATTGCTAAAGCAGGTCATTTGAAATATGTGTGGTATCTTAGGAACTATAACTTAGTGATCATAAATTTGCATTACAAATGCTCTTACAGCTCCTTACTTGGCACAAATTTTCAATCTGAACTGCTAATTAAATATACCACAACTCACCCATCCTGTAATTTCCATTGGCCTAATATCTATTCGTTTAAGCTCCATTTTCTTCTAGTTTTTACTCTCTATTCCCTTCTTTTGGATGCTTTTGATTTTATGTAAGAAAAATCGAGTAGTGAGTTCTTCTGATTTCTCACATATTTCTGCAGTGAGGAAACAGAAAAACCCATATAGAAATGATTAAAGAAATCAGCTAAAACAGATCAAGGAAAGATTCAACAAAGAAAACGGTAGAAGGGGGAATAAATGTCAAAAATACATGAAGGACAGATGTCACCTTTTCAAATTCAGTGATGCTAAACTTGTCTTTTTAAAAAAAGCTTTCACAGAAATAAAACTGGTGATTTGACTATACTCAGTAGGTACAGCTATTAACCATAAGTATAAATTTTGAAGAAATTAAAAGCAACAGTATTTGGAATGTTTACCATCAGCAGGTAGGGTTATCAAGTTCCTGAGTATTCAAATACAAAACATTTAAGCTATGGCCAGATACTGCAACCGGGAGATTGAAAAGCAAAACTTTAATCAAGCTGAAAGATTTAAGATGTTTCAGTGAAGTAGTTAAAAAGAAGTACGTAAGCATTAAGTCATTAAAATAACTTAAGCCTCTTAATCTTCTCAAAGGCAGATTAGGCTAAATTTAAACAAAACATGACATGAAGTCTAGTTTTGGTTTTACACACTATGTATCCTTGGAACAGAATTTAGTATGTGTAGTTCTGAACACTGATTTCCACAAGATAGCATATTGTTCCTACAGTCTCCAAAATACACTTGCTATGGAGTTCTAACAGCTATCTGCAAATCCACTAATGATCCATCCTAATAATGCAAGTATTACTTCTACACTTTCAGGGAAAAGGAAAACTCTTTGAAGCCAGTTAAATGTTTGCGTTCATATTAACTGCTAGTGTGTGATTTCATTATTCCCTTTAAATTCTGAGGTTTTCATAAGTTGCAATGGCAAATGAATGTCCATGTAATATCAATTTTCTTATACAATATGGGCATGTTATTACTTATTCCTTTGCAAAACTTGTGACTGAAGGAAAAGCCTTTCAGAATAATTCCTTAGCTCTACTGAATATGAAGGACAAAAAAATATAGTTGTGAATTATGCACTTTTAGAAAGTATCTGTGAATGTTTTGCATGATGTTTTCTCAACAATGTAACTTTTGCTTTTAAACCTTGCAGAACTAAGACCACTTTAAAAAATGTAAGGTTTAAAATATAATTTTTGGTACCCTTGATTACTGCACCACAAGCTGACAAAAAGCTGGGAATTAAGTCCTCATACTTGGAATCCTATTAAATGACATTTTAAAAGTAAATAGCCAAAAAAAGCTATTATTAGGAGAGGGGAAAGGAATCTAATTCCATTTAAGAAGTTTGGTTATAAAGATTTGGTCCCTTTTAATATACTGTTGAAAAGTTTAACATGGTACTTAGAACTGTAGAAGCTTATTCTAAAGATTAGGTTAGCACTGCAGTCCAGCATAGATCGTCCAACATCTTTAATTACTTTTTGCTCAATGGATTTATTCTTTTTCCAATTACAGCAGATGGATCAGGTACAGTTCTAGGATTCATTTCCCTATGGTTGTAACTCGCTTCATTTGCAGTAGAGTTGATGAACCACCAAATTCACATTCCAAGAAGAGAAGAGATCTTTAATGATGGCCAGAACCAGAGGACTCTGAAACAAAGACGTGATTTAGGCTGTTCAAACAGTAAATCAAATCAATTCACGAATGCAGTGCAGGTCCTAGAACTGACAACTGTACTTACATGTGAGCACAAGAATTGGCTATTCAAATGAAACAATATCCTCAAAATGTGTACACAAGTAAATTTAGCAAATATTAAAAATTCTCTTTTGCAAGTTTTAAAGCCCTATTACAGTCAAACACCCATTCTTCCTTGGTTTTGTTATGGTTCTTCCAGAACTGAAGTTTATTTACACTATTATTCTAAGTCTATAACAGGCAGTCTAAGTCTATTCTAAGTCTATAATAGGCAGTATTTTCTCTAATTGCACATTTCAAAATGTAAATAATGTTTGCATGTACAAATTAAACTAGAAGCAAATGGGTTCTCTCTCATGGTGCAGAAAGTGAACTGAGATACCGCAGGTAATAAAAAAATAAATTCCAGTGTGATGTCAGAAGAAACTGTCCATAAATACCTAAACACTACTTCGTAAAGATAAAGAAATACAAATTCAAAACACAAGTTCACACTTTCTAGTTTCTTGACAGCTAAAATAGCAGGTATACTTGAAATTATGCTGATTTAAGTAATTCCATTAAATGGTTGTTAGTATTAGTTGAAAAAATGCCTCGCCTACAGAGTCAAGGTATAGAATTTCCATTTTACTCCTAAAGTCTACACAAAAGATTCTTTATGTGCAGATCCACGGATATTTCTAGGTTATAAAATTATCAATACAACCAAAATTACTTATTTTGAAGTAGTCTTTAAACATTTTCTAAATCTGTAACTTAAGCCCCAAATTTATCTAGTGTGAAATATTCCAAACTAATTTTTACTGTACTTATTTTAAAATTACATCAAGGTTTTAAATAGCTAATACTTACTATTTCCTGATGATTTTTTGCCTGGGGAAAAAAATAAAAGAAATAAGCTGAACAATGACAGTTCAAAATATATTTCTTACTTACGTTTTACAGATAAACTTTAGTTAAGCTTATCATTACCTTAAACGTTGAGAGTGTATAACATCTATTTTCCATGGTACATTTCTGTAAATTTTATATTGATTTTTAAAAGTTGTTTTAATTAACCAAGACCATAGTAATATAGTAATCAAGATTTCTACTGTAATTCAAAATAAACTTTTATGGAATGTTACTATTTTACATAATATATGAATATATACACATACAAGATATGGATATAAACTGAAGTGAAATGTTTGCTTTAAAATTTTCCTTTGTATTTTACATTCCCATTGTAATTGTTGTCCCAAAATACTAGGTCATAGTGATAAAAAAAAAAAATTCTTCATAAGGAAGACAGTTATAAGGGATTGTACAATCTCCATCCTTGGAAATCCTCACTTAAATTATGAATAAGGTAATAAACAACCTGATCTAACTGTGATCTAACTGCTTCAAGCACTGGCTTGCATCAGGTGAGCTCAAGAAGTCCCTTCCAATCTGATTTATGCTCCAACATACTCTTCTATAATTCCATGCATTATTTGCAAAATTATTACCCAAAGTGCAGAAAGGGCTACAGCTATTAAAAACTATTTTCCCTTCAAATAAAGCTTAGCATACAGTTGCCATCTATCCAGGTTTTTTGGCCCTCAAAACTCTACACCAGCTGATCTAAATCATGAATTAATGTAGCATGACATGAAGACAAGTTTGAGACAGTCTGTCCATTTTGAACTTTCCTTGAAATAGAAGGTGAAAGCAAAAGTTAAACTTTTTCTTCTTCCTGTCTACCTCAACTACTCATATTTACTTATTAGTCATTAAGTACTCATTAAGATATTTAGATATATATTTAGATTAAGATATGCTTATATTTACCTAAACTTTTAAGTGCAGTGTATCAGTTTTGGAATGCTACACACTATTTGGACAAAGCTAGAGAAATACTGAGGTAATATTTCTCAGCTGCTCCCACAGCAAGGGGTTCCGTTTTCTGTGAACTCTGAATACAACTTACAACACTTCATTGTTCACAACAGCCAGTAAAGGGTTTGACTTGGGATTTACTGAGCACGGCCTAAACTGACAAACAGAACCTTTAAGACACCATAATCTTTCGTACTCTTCTGCTTTAAGGGACCAGGCCAAATCAAATTTATTAGATATTCTGTTTCTTTCTTTGAGAAAGTCATCCAGTGTCAACAAGTAACATACATTCTCATGTTCAGAGATATAGCTCTCACTTTGAGGTGCCATCAACCCAAAACAGTTTCACAAGTTCATGTGAGAAAACCTTTTAAAAACTATTTTCAAAATCTTGAGCAAGTAAATTAGATCTGCATTTTAAAAACCAATTCCTACATTACCTGATCTTTATAACGTAAGCACAGTTGCACTGACATTTGAGTATTTTCATTAGTGGAACCTTTTACAGTCAGCATTTAAAACATCTAAATTTTTATAGCAAAGACTTAGCCCTAAGGAAGAATGTTAATTTCTTATTTGCTGGCTATCTTAAATGACTGATTCCTGTTGTGAGTATTCTCTTTTATAAAAAAAGACTACAATGTGTGACTTACCCCCAAATGAAATCTTGTAGTAGGCATAACTTGTTAATGCTACACCAACCCATATTTCTTGATACACAGTAGAGAAGTAGAATTTCATGGGCCTCAATACCTTTGGAATCATGGTCTGCACCATCTGAAACTCTAAGAAGTGTTGTCATTTTAACTTTTACACCTGCTGGATTTTTAACATACATACAGACATATAAACACATATATTTATCTATCTTTATGTATACACACACACACTCTCTCCTGATGCATATCAGCAGCAGTTTACAGGTTAAAAAAAATCTCCAAGCATGCAAAAGTACTTGTTCCAAAGTAAAGAAATGAAAATTCAGAGTTAAGGTTACAATTGATGGGCTAACACAAAAAAATTAAATTACAGTTGATGAAAGAGTTCAAAGACGAATCAACAGAACATTTACAGAGCAGCAATAGCTAGACTTCTCTCTGCCTATCAGTGACAGCTTTTTCCTAATATTTCCAGATTTCCTCAGGAGGAAATCTCATCCCAGACAAGCCAGAGATGCTCCTTCCTTGCACTACCGATTTAGCTTCCCTCCCTCACAGCTGTCTCTCCCAGCATGGTAATTTCTGCTCAAAATAGCAACATAAATGACGTTAAGCTAATGAATTCATGCTTTATCACGACTATTTGACTTTGAAGATATGCCCCAAGAGCAAGAAGTCTGTCAGTGGTAGTGGTTTTTTCCTTTCCATGCAGCTTTGTAAGACAAAGAGAAAATTCTAGGCGGTTTTAAAATAAAGCTTATCTTAACTCCCATAAATGTTAGTTCGTATTTGCGCCACACTGCACTGAAATGCCCCGTGTTCTACTGTCTTATACACAGTAGTTCATGCTTATTGAAAACCAGTAAAATCAGCTATACACACATATAGACAGCATATGGTAAACCAGAGACCCAGGAAAGAAAAGCCGAGTTAAATTTCACTGAGGTAACGCTCACTTATCGGCCGTTAATAAATGTAAAGCATCGTCTGGCAAACCTCTAACAGAAGAGGGTGCAAGGGCAGCCAGTGTCTAAACAACTGGAAAAATCTAGGTGTTTCTTAAAGAATGAAAGCAACCTTGAGGCAATTCGTATATAATTACAGACAAACCCACATTTACATTTGTTTATAGACAGTCATTTCAATCATTTATTATTGTGGCAAAAGTTCCTGAAACACCTTTGTGCTTTCACCAACACTATTAACGACATTGCATTAAGGACACTGCTCACCCAAATTTCCAGCGTTTGTAGTTTCAGATGAAAGTGGACTACAGTTACTCTGCTATAGCAGAATATCAAGACATACTAACAAACAAGGAGACTCAACAGAAAAAGAAGCAAAGATTTTCCCCACAGCTACAGAACACAAGGAATAAGCAGTGTAGTTTCCACTTAACACCGTGCCAAAGCCCGGCAGACTTTTCCCCAGGGCCTGTAAGGGCGCGACGTCGTTCTGAGTAATTTTTTTTCTGAAATCTACCCTGAAAAACGCTGTGTCTGCTGTCACCTTGACCTCCCCAGCACAACCCGGCGCAGCTCAGGGCACCTGCGGCCCGCCCGAGGCCCGACCCTCTGCACGGGGGTGCCGGGTAACGGCAAAGTCCCAGCGCCGCGGGCCGTACTCCCTTTCTCCCTTCTTCCCTTCCCAGGCTGAACCAGCGCTGCCCCCACCCGAAACAGCCCCGAGCGGTGCCCGCCAGGACCCGGCCAGAGCTCGGCGGGCCCGGACCCACCGTGCCAGGGGAGCGGCGAAGGTCACACCGGGGAACGGGCACGGGGAGGGGTCCGGGGCTGCCGCGGGGCGCGCCGGGAAGGGACGCGCGGCGGGCGGGGACAGCAGCGCCCCCTATGGCCGCGGAGGACCAGAGAGCCCTCGCACCGCGGCGGTGCCAGCCCCGCTTCCCTCGGAATCACGGAATGGGTCAGGCGGGGAGGGACCGCAGTGAGGCACCTGGAACAACCTCCCTGCTCAAGCAGGGTCATCTCAGAGCATGTGGCACAGGATTGCGTCCAGACAGTTCTTTAATATCTCCATTCAGGGAGACTCCACACCTGCTCCGGGCAAGCTGTTCCAGTGCATGGTCACTGCAGTGTGAAGTTCTTCTTCATGATCAGGTGGAGCTCTCTTTACATGAGTTTCTGCCCGTTGCCTCTTGTTCTATTGTTCGGCTCCACCGAGAAGAGCCTGGCTCCATCCTCTTGCCACCCTCCCTTCAGATATTTATACACACTGATGAGGTCCCCTCTCAGTCGTCTCCAGGCTGGACAGGCTCAGCTCCATCAGCCTTTTCTCATACGAGAGATGCTCCAGTACCCCAATCATTCTCTGCTGTCCTTCACTGGATCTGCTCCAGGAGCTCCATGTCCCTCTTGTATTGAGGAGCACAGAACTGGACACAAAATTCCACATTCACCTCCCCTACGCTGAGCAGAGGGGCAGGACCACCTCCCTCGATCTGCTGGCAATGCTCTTCTATTCCATATCTTTACCTCAGTCCTGCTTCCCAAGAACAAGCGCAGCACGTGTCCCGTGGCAGGACAATGCCAGGAAAGGCCTGTCACAGTTTGTCAGCGTGTCCCTCAGGAACAGCTTGTCCTGGAGGAGTGGGAGGCACCTGCTGGGCCATATTTACCAGATCTGAAGCACCTCGTGCTTTTCAGGCTGTTTCCTCCAGGTGTGGGAAGGAGGGGTGACTGGAATTCCAATTGCTCGGGCATTGTTCTGAGTGAGGGGGGGAATGACCACCCAGGCCTCCCTGGCTCTGAAAGGAAAGCAGACCTCAGGCCTTTATTGTATGTGTTAAAATGCTTTAGTGGGATCACAGGCTGCAATTACTTTCCTACTGAGTCATTTACATAATCTGCAGGTGTATAGATTTGTTACTTATGAACTTTGTCACACAGGGAAAACAAGACTTCTTGGACCTTACATGGACTTTTTTTTGATATTTAATATAGGAGTATAACATGATGAAATACTGCATATATGTCATCTCTTTCATTTAAAACTTTAAAAACCTCTTGAAATTTTAGTGAGGAAAATATCCTTCTTTCTTTAATTTAGGATTTTGAGGCTGGTATGTTAAACAACCAGAGGCTGTGGTATCCTTATCTCTCTACTATACCCTAGATTTGTGTTTACCTATCTGAGAGGAACAGTTCTAAAGCAGCCAAATGCTTGCACTGGATTAGGCACTCAGTGTGGAGATGATAAATCCTACTGCAGAAAGTAAGGGTCTACCCTGTGTTCGTACTGGTTTTCATTACCTATCTGATTTAACAAATTACACACAGACCTTTTCTGTTATTTGTGAAGTGAGGATGACAGAATGAAAGGGAAGATCAGGTGACACATTTATCTTAGTTCCTATTCTTTTGAAATTTATCCAGTAGGGATGACAGGCCTTAGTGTTCCACTCTCTTGTATACTTCCGATCTGTATCTGTGTGTCCTGCCTTTATTTAATAAATTTTGGGGGTCGGTTTAATGGAATTCAGCCCGCGGTTCGAGGAGAATTGTCCGGGAAGAGAGAGCAGCTCCCGGCGGGGGCGGGGCCGGGCTCAGGGCGGGAAGGTGCGCACGTGGCGGGAAGGGCGGTGGCGCGGGACCGCGTGCCGGGGCCTCTCCGGCGCCATCCGCCGCCATCCGCCTTCCATCCGCCGCCATCCGCCTTCCATCCGCCGCCATCTGCTTTCCATCCGCCTCCCATCCGCCTCCCATCCGCCTCCATGCTGCGGAAACTCACCGAGGAGCGGAGCCGGGACTGGTTCACCATCGGCGGGGCCGTCACTGCCGTCGAGCTCCTGGGCGAGGAGGCGCAGTTTCGCCGCCCTGGCGCTTCCCCTGGGCATCCCGCACAGGAACCGCCGGTGGCTGCGGGGTGAGTGCGGGGCGCTGGGCTGCTGCTCTGGATCGCCTCTCTCTCTCCTCTCTGCTGTGTGCCCGTGGCTCACAGTGTGCTGTGAGCATTCCCCAGAGTCTGGGCAGCCTCCTCTGGCTCCTCTGCTCTGGTGGGCCCAGGGTGTACAGTTGTTGGATTCCAGCCTGACACCCCTGGTAGCGAATTGTGGCTGATGAGATTTTGTGCGTTTAATACTTGATGTTATTTTTTGATTTGCTGCTTAGGTATTTTGTCTCCATCAACACTAGATGTGTTGCGTATAGGGTTTGCTGTCTCTGAAGTGCATTAGCAGTGATGTGCAGCTGTATCTAATCCTGTTGAAAAACTGTAGAACAGTACTAGAAAAGACTCAGTTTGTTCTGGTTCAGGTGCGTTTACTTAAAATTTTATCAGTGGCAAGTGATAATGAGATTCACGGGCTCATTGCTGTTGTAACCTAGCGGAAGGATTTAAGTTACCAGAGTAAAGCAAGTCAGACGTATATTGACATATTGTTTCTCATGCATTATTCTCAGATGGCAGAGTTACAGGCAATGAAAAGTGTATGTGTGTTTGCATAGCAGCCAGATACATTTGATTTTCACTGGAGTCTGGATATTTAAATCCAAAAAATACCTTCCCCTGGATGCTGCCTGGACTGTGGCAGTGCATACTGATCTTGGTATTTAGACCAGGTGTGGTAGTTTATCCATGTTGCCATGGGAAAGTGTTTTGTCGACACTTCCATGTCGTACTTCTCAGGATGAGCTGTGCATACACTCCAGAGTGAGTGTTTTGGGTTTTATTTTTCCTTGTGTGATGCACAGCAATAGAGGTTGCTGTATTTTAAGAAGGTTTATTTCTCTTAGGTGTACATTGGCATCTGAGAAAGAAAGAACTTTTTGCATAACGTCTTGCTATCAGGTAGTCTGACATTTCAGCAGAGACTGTTCAGGCTATCAATGTTGCTGTCTTTGCTTCAGGTCAAGGACAAAACTGGCACCTCAAAATATCTATTCCTTTTTCTCTTTTAGTGTAAAGGTGCTGCCATTACCAAGCTCTCAATCACTGACCAAGAGCTACTGGGCTTTGTGCAAGTAGTAAAAATTTTCCAGAGGGGACCAGACAAAAATTTACAGTTCTTTTAGGTTATTTCTGTGAATGTGATGCCTCACTCCAGTAAGAACAAGATGTTTGTGACTTCTCGGTCTTTATTTAGGTGATGGTAACATTTTCTGTAGTTTTTATGAAGTGTTTGATGAGAGATTCTTGAACCGAACTGAGTGCTAGGCCACGAGATCTATTTTGTGCATTTACTGTAAGCAGGAGAAATGAGAAAGATTCGTCAAGCCTAGTGTGACTAGGCAGAGGCAGATCTTTATTTTTGGTTGGACAGAAACCTCTTTCCACTCAGAAGTCTTTATCAGATAACCTAATTGTGAGTTTGACAGTTGTGTTAGTAGGGAAAAAATTGTTTTTACAGGTTTGGTTTTTCAATTTTTTTTTTCCCCATGTCCTAGGGGGACAGAGGTGATATGCATCCTAAATTACCATTTATGTAAGCATGGACAGAGTTTCTTACCAAGAGCTATAAAACCTTTGAGCATAGATGATAGGTGCATGTCTGTCCTTCCACAAAATTGAACGAATCTCTTTGAGAAGTTGTGTTTCCTTAGGTATATTTTGTTTCCATGCATACTTCTCTTTCAATGTTCTGGGAATGTGCTTACATTTAAAGGGTTTCTGCAAAACTTGAAGTCTCTATAGGAGGTTTAGATTCAAGTGGTCAGATGGAAAGGAAGTGCTTGTATTTTATTCACTGACTTCTTAAGAAAGATTTTGAGGAGCTGAAAACAAAAAAATTTCTCATTCGTCGAGGCTGCCTGTAGCATAATTGTCAATTTGCTTTAAAATTCTTTATTTGTTTCTTGTGAAAGTCAAAACCAAAGTTATCAGATTTTTGAGATGCTTATTTATATTTATTTGAAGTTGGATATGCAATTACTGATGGAGACTTTTCTGCCTACCATTTTTGTCTGAAATTTAATGTAGGATTGTGTGGCTTTAATATCAGATTGATAATAACTGATGTGTTATTGCACACTAGTGTGTGTAATTAATACTTTACAAAAATGGTACTGAGATTGTTTAATGGGATCTAAAAGCCTCGTGTCTCCCTTAAAAAGAGATATGGAATGTGTTTGCTTCCTTTACCGATGATGCCTCATTTTCCAAGGCTTTTAAGATTCTTTTGCTTCCTGAACTACCTCTAGCATAGCAGTATTAGTAACTGAGGTTGTTGGGGAAAGGTAGTAGAAATAGAAACTGCATAAAACGTGGCTGGAATTTAAACAGCTCATTGATTAACTTTTTAATTCCTCTTATTATATTTAACTGAAAGAGAAGAAATTTAGACCCTTAAAGCCTTCCTTGTTAACAACACGATTGTGTTCACATTAAGACAGTTAAAGGCTTATGTGTTTAAAAGGTGATTATTCTCTCTTTTATTTCCTGCATTTCGTAGGTGTACCTTACACCAAGTTAGCACCTTTTTGTAGGTGACTTATTGGCTGGAAATATTGCATGCTTTTTGCTTTGCTTGACACTTGTGCACGTGGGAGGCATTGCTGTCCTTTGGAATTACTGCCACTCACCTTTCTGTCACCAGAGTGGTTTGTGTTGGCTGCCTGCCTATTGCAGAAATATCTGCTGGCTCACGGTAAGGGACGATGTGGTTTTAGAACACCTCATGCAAATTGTGTAGGGCATAAATAAAAAGTACTTAAAGAAGCAGTTGCAGAGTTCCTGGACAGTGATCTCCCACAGGGTAGTGGTGACTGGCCTTCCAGCAGTCTTACTGCTGTCTGAGGTAGCTGAATTATAAGGGTAAGCAGAATTCTAGAACATGGCTT